GACAGTGGTGGCTGGAAGTGGAAAAGAGGGGGCCAGAGAAGCTGAGGGCTGGCTGGGCACAACTCATTCTCATCATGTAATATCAAGGATTGTCTATGTGATCTCTCCTATAGGTTGGTTTAGGTTTTCTCAGAGGGTATTTGAAGAGAGACACTGCCATGTATTGGGTTCTTCAGAAAGCAGACTCTGAGGTGGAAATGATTTTCAAGACATTTATTGCTGAGTGCTATTGGACTTGCGGAAGGGAGGAGAAAGAAGCAGGACTAAGCAGAGGGAGAAAGGCGATGCAGTCCTAACAAAGGCCTTAGCTGAATTAAGATGATGCTTCAGAATTTGTGTAAGTTTGGGCAAAATGGTATGCTGTGCTTTTATATGTCTGTGCTGATCAGTTACTGAATGTGGGCTTCTCCTAGAAGGAGGTTGTAACCTTGAGAAAGGGAATTTTTCTTTTTTCAGTACTGGGGCTTGAACTCAGGGCCTACACCTCGAGCTACTTAACCAAACTTTTTGTGATGGATTTCTTTCAAGATAAGGTCTCATGAATTATTAGCTCAGGCTGGCTTCCAACCATGATCCTCCTGATCTCTGCATACTGAGTAGCTAGGATTATAGACGTGAGCCACTGGTGCCTGGCAAGCAAGGCAGTTTTCTTCAGCCAAGGTAATCCCCTACAAAGGATGTGGGTCTGCTAGGATCATCTTTTAGCTGTACTCCCAGCTGCTAGCAGAACAATTCCCCCATTCCTGAAGGAAAATCTGGGTGGTGAATCCTAGTATAACACTAACAGGATCTGTGGCTTTTAGTAGAGGGACCCAGTCAGCCATCTTTCAAAGACCTGGCACAGAGGAAGTTAGGGAAATAAATATCTCAATCTCATTTGTCCTCCTGACTTGTGATTTCCTACCAGGGCTAAACCATGGAAGCTGTAGGACTTGATGCAATCCCTGTGGGTTTTGGGTTACAGAAAATGGTGGAGAGAGTCTAGAGGGGCAAGGAAGACATTCAGTGGCTGGTGATGAGCTTAGTTTTTGAATGTTAAAGACATGTTGAGTTTAATAATATCCTGATGACTACTTATTGATAGATTAAAGGAGTCTTCTGATCTGCCCTCTCATTCATTCTATTTCTTCTCTTTCATCTATCTCCTGATTACTTAATCTCACTTTTCATTCTACCATTTAAACCCTGCTTAATTACTTCATCTTAGGACATGTTCTAGTTCATGAATTTGGCATTTCTCCTGACCATATTCCACTCCTTCACCCTTCATTTTAACTCCATGTGCCCATTTTATAGCCTGGTAATGTTTTTCATCCAATCACTTTCCAAACAGCTTTCTTTCTGTTTACTACCTGTGTGGACTCTCTTTTTCTGCCAGCATCTCATATATACTGTTTTGTTTTTTTGGGGGGCGGGGGATGGGTGGTGGGACTTGAGTCTAGGCTTTCACACATGCTAGCCAAGTGCTCTACCACTGAATTATACTCCCAGCCTTATACTGGCTTCCTGGCTAAAAGTAGAAAGGAGTAATTTCAAGATTATGAGGTAATATAGATGAGAGATGATAGGAGGATGAGGATAATGGGTGTGGGGAGGGATCACTTTGGTGGATCACTGTGCATTCTACAGCAACTATCTGGTGGTATAATGGCCTTTCCTCACATTCATTATTTCCAGCCCACTCTCCCATTTTGTGTGTGTTCCAATACAAAACTCTACTAATCATCTCTTCTATCTCTTCTTTGGCTCCTGTACATTTTTTTTCTTTTTTTCTACCTACTCTTCATTTTCCTTGATCACTTTGGTAGACAGTTTCTCTCTCTTTTTCCCCTTAACCATGATTTATTCTCCTTTGTCTTATAGTCTTATTATATATATTCCCTCTGGACATCTTTTTTTTTTTTTTTTCTCATTGCCTCAACTATTACTTGCATTCGAATGACTCCCAAGTCTGAATTTTCTACCTTAGAGATTTTGTTCCAGACCTTGCAGTGGCAGGCAGGATCATGCTACGGTTGCATTCCCAGCTGGTACCAAAATGTTCTCCTTTCTTCTTCTTCTTCCTTCCCACCCCTTCCTCCCTCTTTTCCTCCCTTTTCTTTTGAGACAGGAGCTCATTGTATAACTCAGGCCGCCCTTAAATTCATTATGTAGCCCAGGCTGGTCTAGAATTTACAGTCTTCCTTCCTCAGCTCCAGAGTGCTGGGATTACAGATGTATGCCCAGCTCTTCCCTGGCTTTTTAACTTTTTCTTGGACTGTTCCTCAGTCCATTTTGGTTCAGTTTCTTTTTTCTTTTTTTTTTCGATACTGGGGTTTGAACTCAGGTTTTACACCTTGCACCACTCCACCAACCCTTTTTTGTGATGGGTTGTTTTTGAGGTAGGGTCTCACTAACTATTTGCCCTGGTTGGTTTCAAACTTTATCCTCCAGATCTCTGCCTCCTGAGTAGCTAGGATTACAGGTGTGAGCCACTGGTGCCCTGCTTGGTTCAGTTTTCATATCCTCCTGGCTTCCCTTAGCAATGTTAACATTAAAATAAACAAAATTAACTCTTCAAATGACCCACAGAGGTGTTATTTTAGTATTTATATTATTCATTATAAAATGAAAGCCATTTGTGTATCTGTTGGGGGCAGGGGAGGGGAGGAGCAAGGCATGGTGAAGAGTCTTGTTGGAGAGCCAGAGGTCTCTAGCCTGAGAAACTGGAGAAGCAACAATCAGTTCTGGGATGCATGGTACTAATTTACCCACTTTCTTCCCCAAATCATCTGGAATGGTGCGATGGGAATGTAACAGAATTTAAGCAAATCATTCTTATCCCACTCTTTTATTGACATGACTTTTTTTTTTTTTTTTATTCATATGTGCATACAATGTTTGGGTCATTTCTCCCCCCTTTGACATGACTTTTAAAAACACATTTTAGCCACAGACACCCTTGGAAACTAGCCAAAGGGAAATCACAAAGGAGAGACATTGCTATGCCTTTCTGAGAATTAATGTCTGACTTTCATTAGGTCAGCATTGCTTTTCCTCCAAGGTTTCAGCGTTTTTAACCGGTAACAATTACATCTGTAACAATTTTAGGATAGTTTTATTTACTTTATTTTTTTTGCGGTACTGGGGTTTAAACTCAGGGCTTTCACCTTGAGCCACTCCACTAGCCCATTTTTGTGAAGGGTTTCTCGAGATAGGGGCTTGCCAACTATTTGCCCAAGCTGGCTTCGAACCGAGATCCTCCTGATCTCTGCCTCCTGAGTAGCTAGGATTACAGGCGTGAGCCACCGGCGTCTGGCAGGATAGTTTTATTTAAAGGTTTCCAATTTACATGCTTCACCCAACTTCTCTCAAAATCATTCAGTTGTTTCACGGTGTAAGTTAAAATACCATTTTTATCCCGGCTCCGGTTCTACACCACGGAATGCCGCCTCGGTGAGAAGCCCGTACCCAACAGGGCAGCGCCACGAAGGCATGCTTTTAATGTGAGGTGCACGTTGCTTACACCTCCACTGCAAGGCAGAGGTTGTGCTTTAAAACGGACCTTTGCTGTTGCGTGTAGTGTGCTGAATTACTAATCTCCCAACTTGGGCACGCAAGAATACCTTTTCTCTCTCTTTTAACACCAAAACCAGAAGAAAAAAACAAACCAAAGCAAAACCCAAACCAAAAACAAATCCAACGCACCCAAACCATCCCCGAACCTAGAGAAAGCGCGCCAACCACACAAAGAAAAGGAGGGGGGCTACTGGGATTCAAAAACATTTCGCCGGGACGTATACCTCCTTGAACCTATCGGAGTTAACTGCGCGCTTGGTGGTAGCCAATAGAGACAGAGTTTCTAGTCCAGGTCCTCCCTAAAGACTGACAGACATCCATCTAGCCCAATGGAATAGTGTGACGCTAAAGAATCAACCAATACATTCGGGAGGTGGGTGGAGTATAGGCCAGGGGGTTGGCGGTGCCGTGTCATGGAGGCTCAGTCTCTGAGCAGCCATTGAAGGGGAAGGAACTGCGGGTGTGTGTGTGTGTGTGTGTGGTGTGTGTGCGTGCGTGCGTGTGTGTGCGCGCGCGGGTGTGTGGACAAGGAGGTGGGGGCAGCCGAGTTAGAGTCCCAACTCCTTGGACTCCATTTGCTATTCTTTTCTTTCTCCCCCATACCTATTTGGTGGTAGTGGGCGTTTGTATTTGCGTTTCTTTTCATTCATTTCCAGGTCTTTAAAATTCTTTTTAGGGTTGGGGGTAGTGAGAAAGGCAGGAAAGGGGAAAGGAGGAGAGTAGTAGCAGAAGAGCAGGAGGTGGACATGGAGATGAAGAAGAGGATTAACCTGGAGTTAAGGAACAGAGCCCCGGAGGAGGTGAGATGACTCAGCCCACCACCCCGTCCCCTCCAGTTCTATATTCTGAGGACTGGATTTCTGGGGGTCCGGATGAGAATGGGGGGAGGGCCAATAAATTAATTCCCACCTGGGGTGGGGGTGGGAGGAAATGCTTTTATTCTAAGTTTTAAATCATTAAGACCTTCTACTTAAAATGGCGAAGGGCTTAAGTTTCTAGGGGCGTTTTTGTGTGTGCACGGGGGCTTAGCCCTGTTGGTTCCCGCGGAGCGGGGCGCCCGGGCCTGGCGGGGGCGGGAAGCGGGCGGCGGGGGCGCTGTGCAGCCGGGTTCCGCGCGATCTTGCCGGGGGGCCGGTGGCGTGGGCGCGACCCCCTGCCCACTCGCCCCGGCTGCAGCCATCGCCACCTGAGAAGTTCGTGCAACTTTTCTGCAGTGCTGCCAACTCGGGGTTTTGAGGAGGGGGGTGGGCGTCCGGGTGTCGAGGCCCTGGGGACATCCGATGTCGCGCCGGGCCCGGGCTGGGGTCGCCGGCGAGTCCCCGTGCCGCGCGCTCCGGCGGCGCCCACTCCCCCGGGAAGCGGCGCGCGCCGACCGCCACCGACGGAATCTGGGTCAGCGGCGCGTTCTCGGACCGCGGGCGAGTTTGGGGACTGGTGGCGGTGACCGGAGGTGGGGAGCGGGGCGTGAGGCGTCATCCGCTTCTTCCTCCCGCCGTGTAATGAGACTCGGCGTGTCGTGTGGTAGCTGCTGCCACTCCGAACCCGATCCCTGGAGACGGCTTCGCCAAACTCGGCCAACGGGCCGTAGTAGTTTTGCGCTTTAAACGTGGGTTCGGCGAAACTAAATGATGCGCTCGCGCGGCGGTCGCCGCAGTTAAAGAGTCGGGCTGGGAGGGGCCACACGAGGCGGGGTCGCGGTCAACTTTTCGGGGGTCGGGCGGGAGGAGGCGTTTCCGCCGTCGCCTCGCGGGCGCTTCCTCGGCTTCACCCCACACTCCCCGCCCCGGGGCGGAGGCCTCGGGGAACGCGGGCTTGGAGAGGGAGGGGGATACCCGTTTTCCTCGGGGAGTCCCTGCGCGTGTGGGGTTCCCGTCTGTCCGATCGGCAGGTCCGAGAGCGCGGCCAGCGGGCACGGCGGCCCCTAAATCAGCTTAGGGTTGGCAAATGAGGGATGTATGTCTCACGCTGGGATCCGGCCTTGGCACCCCCGCAGGAGGATGGCTCGGGTGCTGTGTGCGCGGCGACCGGGGATCTTCTTGTGCTTTTCTTGCGCTGTTTACCTGAAACTGGCAGGGAGTGGGGAAGAGGAAACAGACATTGCCATCAAGGGTCATCCCAGAGAAAACTTGTTTTCTAGACCTCATTCTTAGGAGCTTCAAAAACAAACTACCCCCCCCCGCCTCTAGCCTCCCCCCAAAAACCCCACCAAACTTTAAAAGCTGTTGCTCAGAAGCATGTGTTTAGAATACTTTTTTTTTTTTTCTGTTTTGGGGGGGGTAAAATGGGCTTGCCTTCCTGCCTCCCCGCCATTCTTGTACTGTAGTAATTTCCTTGCCAGTTTTGGGGATTGCAGAACATTGCCTTTTTGCAGGCTCCCCCTTTCTCCAGTGTGGTGTAATTAACGGTCTCGTGTTTGTATAGACAATTTACAAAGCACTTTTCGAGTTTATTTACTTTTCTCCTTTGGACAGACTTGTAAGGTGGATTGTGTTGTTCTAGAATCCAAATTAGTAAACGGAGTCTCAGGCGATGAAGTGATTCACTTAAGTGGAAGAACTGGTTTTCTGGTATTAAATCTAGTACCCTTCTTGCCACTGAGCTAAAACTGGAAGACTTCAGTTGGGGCACAGCTTTGTCACATACTAATTATGTGACCTAAGGCAAGTCACTCTTGCTTTTTGGACCTTGGTTTCTCATCTCTAGTAGGCAGATCATGATGCCATCCCTGCTTACTGAAATAATTATGTCAAAGTCATACTAGTAGAGAAGATGACATTCCTTGTGAGTTATTAGCTCATAAATGAACATTTTTTGGCTTGGGGATAGAAAGCCAAGGTGTCCTGCCTCCCCCATAAGATTAAATCCATTCAGGCAAGCACACCAGTAAGTTTGTTACTGTAACTCTGACCTAGTAGGGAATTCAGGCCCTCCTCCTCCTAAGAATGGGAAAAAGTGCACAAAAATGCTACCAGAGTGGCAAGGAGAAATAACATTTTTGTCAAGGATGTATTGTTCTGGGTGATATTGCTTGGCCTCATATAACACCCGAAAGCTGGGCTGTCCCAGAAGGAGCTTTCTAACATTTCCTCTTGAAGGGTTTTTTGATGGGATTTATCAACCAGAGATAAGGAGGTTTAAACCGAAAAAGTGATAAAGCGGTTTTCTCTCTTCCTACTTTTAATAGTAGTTCATTGGAATCTTTTCCCAGTGGTGCAGGTGTCCCCTCCCTGCATAAATGTGTGCCTGGATGTTGACTAGCATCCTCATCAGGGTCAGAAAACACATTTCACATGGGACGTTTTTCAAAGGCTTATTTTTTATGCCTCAGTGATTTGAAGCAGGCATTGAACTTGTCAGGCTTAGTTTAAATTTAAAAAAGACTGCTTATAGTAATGACTAGATTGTATGTCAGTTTTAAGGGGGAAGTGAAAAGAATCTGTGTGCCAGGATTTTGTTTTGTTGTTCTTTGAGATGTGGTATTGCTTTGTTGCCCAGGCTGGCTTTCAGCTCCAGGGCTCAAGTACTTCTTTTTCTTCAGCCTCCTGAGTAGGTGGAATTACAGGTACACAACACTGCACTCAGTTTAGGAGTTAGGTATTTTTAATATTCACTTTTCCCAAATGTCGAAATCCAGGTCTATTGCAAACTAAATAATCATTCATGTGTTCTCTCTTACAGGTGACAGAGTTAGTCCTTGATAATTGCCTGTGTGTCAACGGGGAAATTGAAGGCCTGAATGACACTTTTAAGGAACTAGAGTTTCTGAGTATGGCTAATGTGGAATTAAGTTCACTGGCCCGGCTTCCCAGCTTAAATAAGCTTCGAAAGGTAAGTCGGGATTTATTCCTATGTGTCATGATTTTAATGCCACAGGCTACTATATCTAGTTCTTGGTCACTGAAAGAACTATTCTGTCTTTTAATTAGGAATTTTTAAGTTTCTAGAGATAAGAATATAGTTATAGAATTGCTTTTAGAAATTTAAATTTATTAGTTGAATAGTTATATGACACATTTGGATTTAACATCTACTGAATGTTTTTCTCTGAATCATTAAATTCAAATGTAACACAACAGGAACCAAATCTGAGCTTCTAAGCCCATTATGGAGGGGTTCTAATACATAATTTGGCAAAGTAGATAGAAATTTGGAAATTAATGATTTGTAGTGATAGCCTCGTGAAGCCAGAGAGAAGGAAAAGTGTTTTTCTTCAAATTGGTACACTTTTAAAATGTTGGCGCTGTCTTAAACCTTCATCATTCTTTGTTTTCTTCCCATGTTGATTATTTAGTTGGAACTTAGTGACAATATAATTTCTGGAGGCTTGGAAGTTCTGGCAGAAAAATGTCCAAATCTCACCTACCTCAATCTAAGTGGAAACAAAATCAAAGATCTCAGTACAGTAGAGGCTCTGGTAAGCAGAAACATTTCATCTCCAGAATTGCTTTTTGTTGGTCAAATGTTCTGAGATTTGTTTTCTTTTATTAATTTCTATTTAGCTCTTGAAACTTCTGAATTTCTTCTATGTACCCATCTAGACAATTATTGCTGTGCTTTTCTTTAGAGTAAAATATCAAGCTTGATATGGAATCCCAGCTGCTGGGCAAGTTTGAGTCACCCTACGTTGGCACACAGACCTTGTCTTTAAAAAAAAAAAAAGAAAAAAAAAAAAGAATTTTTGAATCTGAGAAATTAATTTCATTATCAGCTTCATGAGTTGACTGTTTTTAAATTTCCAGTATTTTCTTAGCTTCTGTTGTTTTTATTCTTAATTTTGGCTTATTTTATTATTCATCCCCTTATTTCCTGGTGTGTGAGAAGGAAAGGACAATTAGACAAAACTCTGAAAATTGTTGCTCTAGTGTTTTATTTATTTACTTATTTTTTTGTGGGACTGGGGTTTAAATTCAGGCTTCGTGCTTGCAAAGCAGGCACTCCACCACTTGAGCCACACCTCCAGTGCATTTTGCTCTGTTTATTTTGGAGATGGGGTCTCTTGAGCTATTTGCCCAGACTGGCCTTGAACCTTGATCCTCCTGATCTTAGCCTCCTAAATAGCTAGGATTACAGGGTGTCCAGGTGTTGCTTTCCTATTTTAAAGAAAAGATTGGGATAGGTTTGCACCTAGCACTCAGGATGCTGAAGCAGCCTGGGCTACCTAGTGAGACCCCTTCTCAGCAATAACAACAACAACAAAAAAGACTGGGAGGAAGTTGAAGTTGTTGAAAATAAACTTGCATGTGGATTTAAATTGATCATGATAGTGTTGTTGCCTTGCTTTTGTTTTTTGTTTTTTGGTGGTACTGGGGATTGAACCCAGAGCTTCATGCATGCTGGGCGAACACTCAACCTTTGAGTTATATCCCCAGCCTCCTGGCTTCTTGATCAAGGCACTGTTGATCCTCCTGGCACAATCTCTTGAATGCTGGGATTACAGGCATGTACTACCATGCCCAGTTTTTTTTTTTGCATATTTATGCCCAGATTCAGTCAACAAAAATGTGCTGGGTGCCTGTTAGAAATTAGGCACTAAGATAGATGCTGGAGATGTAACAGTGAGCAGAACAATATTACTACTCTTGTGGAGTTTACATGTCAAGGGCTAATTAAGAGAGTTGGTGCTGGGTGCTGGTGGCTCATGCCTATAATCCTCGCTGCTCAGGAGGCAGAGATCAGGAGGATCGTGGTTCGAAGTCAGCCTGGACAAATAGTTCGAGAGACCCTATCTTGAAAATATCCATCACAAAAGCAGGCTGGTGGAGTGGCTGAAGGTGTAGGCCCTGAGTTTAAGCCCCAGCACTGCTAAATAAATAAAAGGGCTGGTGAATGGCTGAAGTGGTAAGAGTGCCTGTCTAGCTAGCATGAAGCTTTGAATTGCCCTCCCCCTCCAAAAAAAAAAAAAGGAGAGAAAGAGAGAGAAATGGCTATATTTGATAAAATAACTCTTATAAAAGTCTAAAAATTATTCTCCTAATTTCAAGTATGTTTTCTACATCATGAATTGAAAAGAAATAACATGGTATTTTAAGTACTGACAGTAAACTTTAACTTTACTTTTCTAGCAAAATCTTAAAAATTTGAAAAGTCTTGACTTGTTTAACTGTGAGATCACAAACCTGGAAGATTACAGAGAAAGTATTTTTGAACTGCTGCAGCAAATCACATACTTAGATGGATTTGATCAAGAGGATAACGAAGCACCAGACTCGGAAGAGGAGGATGACGAGGGTAATCATTCTTAAAACTCATAACTTTGTATAACTGTGTATAGCCTCCATGCTAGCCATGCAGATTAGATTGGGTCTGGGATTTTGGTATGAGGAAAATAAAAAACATAAGGTATTAGGAAGATGAGCAAAATTTAAAAACCCATGGCTCTCGCCTGCATCTCGTCTTTGAGATTTCTAATTGTTTCAAGGAATTTAATGATTGCTGTAATAGGAAGCTCCATGAAATTTTACATCTGTGTCAGTTTGTGCAACTGCTACTCAGTAATAGTGGCAACTTCCTGAATAGTACTTTTTTTTTTAAAAAAAAAAAACGTTCATAGTAGCATTATTCATCAAAGCTTAAGAGTGGAAGTAATTCAAGTGTCTTATGAGTGGATTTTAAAAATGTGATTAGCCATACAATATAGTTTTATTTTGCCATAAAATTGAATGAGGTACTAATACATGCTATATGAGTTTCTTTTCTAAGTTATGAAAAATATCCTAGAATTACAGTGAATATACATTTTTAGATAAATGGGAGATTAACATCAGATGTCAGAATAGCTGTTGTTAGTAATAGGGCACTGCTTGTTAATATTGGTGAAAAGTTTTTACTGTTAAAAGAAATCTGATGGGTAAACAGTGTTATATAATGATAGAATGATGGACAAGCAGGTTTTGAAGTGTCTATGATGTAAAGCCAACTTTAGTGCATATAATGTTTGATAAAAATCTATACATTGGATAGATACAGTATTTACAAACCATACTTTCCAAGTAATAAATATGAATGCTATAAAATGGGGACCTTAAAAAAAAAAAACCCACACTTTGACATACTTTCTACCCGTTGGCTTAATTTAAGAGTTTGAAGTGGGCTGGCAGAGTGGCTCAAGTGGTAGAACGCCTGCCTAGCAAGTGTGAGATCCTAAGTTTAAACCCCAGTACCACCAAAAAAAATAAGTAAATAATAAAATAAAATGGAGATATCGCTGGTGTGGTGGTTTGTGCCTGTAGTCCCAGCTACAAAGAGTTTGAAGTGACTGGCAAGGGTAAAAAGGGCCAATATGCTATCAAGAGACATTTGCCCAGTCATTTGCTCATCTCTTAAAATATTTTTAAAGATGGAGATGAAGATGATGAAGATGAGGAGGAAGATGAAGCTGGTCCACCTGAAGGGTATGAGGAGGAGGAGGAGGAGGAGGAAGAGGAGGAGGAAGAGGATGAGGATGAAGATGAGGCAGGCTCAGAATTGGGAGAGGGAGAAGAGGAAGTGAGCCTCTCCTACTTAATGAAAGAAGAAATTCAGGTGAATAGATACTTCATGTTTTCACCAAAAATTAATTATGTATAGGGCTACTGTAATAAGTGAGTTGTGTAGAAATCTGTGTTATTTCTTACAAACCCACATGTATCTGTCTGCCTGTCTTTTCTCTGTTGTCTCCTACCCCATCCTGTATCCGGATTACCATAAGCACCTACTGATTTTCATCTCCTAGATACCTTCCAGATATCTTTCTGCCCTAGAAGCATGATGTGGTGAAAACATTTTACAAATCTTTGATCCTCGGTTTCTGCCTTTATACAAGTGAGATTACACCAACTTTACAGGATTGTTTTTAGGATTTAACAAGATAATATATGTAAAGTAGCTAGTCCCTGGCACATTGTAGACACTCAGGAAAACTTAAGCTTCTTTCCTCTAATTACCTCTTGCTTTATACTCTTGTAGTAGCTTTCTGAATGGTTTTTCTGAATACAGCGTCACCACGAAGGAATAGCCTCTGCAGTGTTGTGTGTAGTCAGTCTAATGCAAAGATGATAGTTCTAACCTTGAGACCCTTTAATGTTTCTCTATTGCCACCAAAGCATACAACACCCTTCATTATGTAGATGGCCTGTGATTTCTTTCCTTAGCCTCATCTCCCCTAGTAACAAATTAAGTGTCACAACAAGCTATTACTTGCTTATGTCTGCATATGTGCCGTTCACTCTTATCTGAAATGACTTTCTTCTTATGCTCCCTGATGGACTTTATTTTTGCTTGTGTCGAGGTAAACATAAATACAGTGACACACATAAAGTGCACTAATTCTGTGTACATCTCTGTGAAGTTTTACATACGTGTATACTTGTGCAACCACAACCCAAATTGTACCTTGTATAAATTCTTGTCCTTATAAAACTAGTTCTGGAGTTACTTCATTATTGAAGTGTTCTATAATTTTTCTTAGGCAATCCCTCCTTTACACTTCAATTAGGTATTGCTTGTATACATGCTTTCGTAAAACTTGTTTGGCCACTTTCTATGAACTGGTAAACTTCTTATGGAGGACACACTCATCTTTGCTTATTAGCATCTAATACATTGACTGGCACATGGAGTAAATGATCTTTGGCCCCTGAGAATCAGTCAATCCATCTTGTCTGTCTGTCTGTCTGTCAGTCAATCAATCAATGGTACTGGGGTTTGAACTCAGGGCCTTGTGCTTTGCTTGGCAAGTACTCTGCTACTTGTGCCATGCCTTCAGCCCTGGAGTTCAGAGATGCTGTTTTCTCCTAATGTTATATTAAGGTTTATTTTCATAATTTAAGATAAGTTTTTATTAAAAACATCTTTTAGGGCCTGGGGCTATAGCTCAGTAGTAGAATGCTTGCTTAAGGCCCTGGGTTCAGTCCTCAATACCACTGAAAAAAACCCCCAAATCTCTTATGTAGATTAAATATTGTTAGTATTATTTGTTCTGTTAATTACTTTTACATTGGTTAGGTAGATAATTTCTGATATTATTTTAAATATGAAACTAGTGTGGAAAAATAAGGACATTTGTTTGGGGTCTTAGTGAGTTAGGAACTATATAACAATAAACAACTTTTAAGTATTTTAAATGTTCATAGAAAAAGTCAGCTAGTTTACATCAACATAGAAATTGAGTGTTTCTCCCCTAAGTTTTTATTTATTTGGCAAAATAAGGATCTGTGTTCTTTTGCATTTAGCCTTTTATTTTCTCTGCCAATAATTCCTTAAGTCTAAGTAATATTAATTTAAAAGTTACTTTCAGTCTACTGCAAATTGGTTTATCATTAGGTTTATCATTCCATCAAGTATTGGGAAATATTAACCAAAACTGACATGGCCAAGTATAGAGCAAAAATGTCTATGATAATGCAAACAAAATTAAGTCATTGTAGGGTTGTCTGGGACCAGAAGTTTTCATTCTAGATAAGATAATTTGGATGTTCAATATGGAGTCTTGTTTTTAGAAACTAAGTGCCAGGGAAGCTTCAGAGACTATTGAGATTTAAAACAAGAAATTAGAAGGAAATAGAAAGCACATTTGATTAGCTATTTTATTACAGTTTTTTTGATACAAAGTTTCACTTTGTAGCTTAGGCTAGCCTAGAACTTGTGCTCTTCCTGCTTTAACTTCCTAAATACTGGGATTATAGTGAATTAATATGTATAAAGAAGGTAGAGATCAGGAGGATCACAGTTTGAAGCCAGCCTAGGCAAGTAGTTAGTGAGATACTATCTTGAAAATACCCAACACAACAAAGGTCTGATGGAGTTGCCTGCCTAGCAAGTGTAAACCTTGAGTTCAACCCCCAAGTACCACAAAAAAGAAAAAGAGTAGTCAAAAGTTGCTTTGCGGGTATGGCAGCTAGTAGACTATGTGACTATTTAAACTAACTAAATTAAAAATTCAAAACCTCATTTGCACTGGTTACATTTCAAATGCTCAGTAGCCATGTGTGGCAGTGGTTACTATATTGCACAACACAGATATAGAACATTTCCATTGTTGCAGAAAGTTCTTGTTAAACAGTGGTGGTCTAAATAAGCATAATTTAGGTTTTGTAAAGAAACTAGATACTTATTAGTTTTCTTTTTTTTAAAGACATACAAGGTAGGCAGAGGTTGTGGGTGTCAGACACAGAGTAACTAGTTTCTTTGCCTTGTTGGGATGTATTAAAATAAGCAGTGAAAAGTCTATGTAATGGTTTGTTCTCATACTGAATATTTGAATTTCAAGGATGAAGAAGACGATGATGACTATGTTGAAGAAGGGGAAGAAGAGGAGGAAGATGGTGAGTTATTAGCTATAAACAAATTCTGAAATTAAAGGTACAGAAACATTTCATGGACTTTAAGGAATGAAAGTTTTTTTTTTTTGAACTTGGGGCCTACACCTTTGAGCCACTCCACCAGCCCTGTTTTTGTGATGGATTGTTTTTCAATATAGGATCTCGAGAACTATTTGCCAGGGCTGGTTTCAAACTGAGATTCTCCTGATCTCTGCCTCTGAGGAGACAGGATTATAGGCATGAGCCACCAGCTCCTGGCTAAGGTAAAAGTTTGGAAAGAGTAATTTTCTCAGGGGATTTGTTAATTCCATTAAAAAAGAAAAACAGTTTATAACATGTATTTTAAAAACTAATGAAGGCCAAGCTCTGCTGTATCCCCAGCACTTTGGAAGCTGAGGGAGGAGGATTGTAAGTTTGAGGCCAGTTTGGGCTACCCTGCCTCAAAAAACCAAAAGTAACAATAAGAAAACAAAAACAAAACAAATCTAAAACAGGGATGAGGAGATAGTGATCTCAGTAAATTGAGCTTAATTTACTGTGTTTTAGGATCTCATTTGGAGAGGGTAAATCCTCATATGTAAGAGAGGTACATTTTAATGCTAGATAATGCTCTGCAGATTTGCTTGTTGGTACTCTTTACCTAGGTATCTCAAAATTATTATTTAACTTTGCTAAGCATTCCATCTATGTCAAGCTGTTTCTTCACCTGTACTTCATGATTTAGCCACAAGGGTGCATAGCAAACTCATTATTTATGGAGCTCTTTTTTTTTTGGGTGGTACTGGGGTTTGAACTCTGAGCCTCATGCTTGCTAGGCAGGTGCTCTACCACTTGAGCCACTCCACCAACCTATTTGTGGATTTAAACACTGTATTTAAACACTGTGTTTATACACTGAAATGGAAATAAATTTCAGAATGAAAATTTAACCTCTAATTTTTCACTAGATTCATAACTTTGTAACTTAACTGATACTCATTTGTTTTAAGTGTTTTACACATTTTTTTACTTTTTCAGAAGAAGAAGGTCTTCGGGGAGAGAAGAGAAAACGAGATGCTGAAGATGATGGAGAAGAAGAAGATGATTAGATCATTCTAAGATCAAATTCCCTAGTGGTCCTGGGTGTGCAATAGAGTGATCACATCTTCTTTGTTTCTTCATGTACGATAGCTATCCCTACCAGAAGATAATGTGTAACTTTTTATAGGAAAAGTGTGGTTTTACTATTTTTGCCTTATCATTCCAATTAAGATTTACTAGTTTGTTAATGATCATATTGTATGTAGAGAAAAATTTTCATTAATCTCCCATTGTGAAATTCTCTAGCAATGTATTTGGGATCTTAATTTTTCTAATTCAAGCTCACTGTATTAGACATATTTAGCCCTAAATTAAAACATAATTGCTTTTACACAGGTATAGTTTGGTGCATTTCATTCATAAGGTTTTAAAGTTATTTATAAATTAAGTGAAAGTCAGCTGCAATATGAAAAGACAATAGCCTCTTGAATGATAAGCTGATTATTTTTTTAGAGGTGATTCAGAGATCTTTGAAGACAATGAATTTTTTTTCTTTTTTTTGGCTAAGGGTATTTGGCAGCTTTTTTTTTTTTTTGAGTAAGTTGGGAAGTAGAAGGCAGAATAATAAGGAGTCTATTCAGCAGTATAGTTCATGCATTTGGGGGAGGTTTTATTCAGTAATATAATTCATGAGTTTTACGGTGACTGATAAGATTTTGCTTATACTATGTCTAGAGACATATAGGTAAGCCTTTTCTTCAGGCAGCAGATCATGACATGCCATGGGTGGTTTATCTTGTTTTAGGTGTGCATTCTTTCTTCTTAGCAATTTTTAATGATAACTACCCCTCTTGTTTCATTCTCTTCCCTCTATTCCAAAAGAAAGTTGGGATATCCAGAAAACCTTTAGTTTTATATCTCAGCTACCTTTTTAGACCTGTCTGGGTTTTAAACAAGCAAATTGAAAGAAATGGAATATTTTCTGAAATACGAATATTATCTGATAGTTTTATGCAACAAGCTCTGCTTACTGTAAGTCTTTCTTGGTTGACAACATGGAAGATCATATTAGTAGGAAAAAGAAAACCAGGGAAGGCTTTTGGAAGTGGCATTAACATTTTTAAAAAGTGGGATTGCCTGTTCATAATGAGATGGTCAGGTCAGATTTTTAAGTTGGTTTCCCAAATGATTTGGACACCAGCCCTGTGAAGTGTTTATGATGTCTTTATTAGAACTATTGGACCCTTTAGATTTTCTTCTGTAGTTTTAACGCATACCAAATAGAGCATTTAATTGGACTATGGTAAGCAGGTGGAAGAATATTTGAAACTAAGTCAATATTAAAATTGAGATTTATTTTCAAGCGGATGTCCACTAAAAATAGAAAAATATTTGGGATAAGTGTGAGTGTGTGCTTCCTTCTGTATAGTTGCTTAATAAAATATGAGAGTGAATAAGTACATCTCCTTTTTAGTCATGGAGGCTCCATGTTCAAGGCAATCTTGGCCACCTATAATATTTTCCCTTTGTTTTGCATATTTGTAAATTTTAAAAAATAATCAGGAAATTAATTGAAGTTATGTTTTTGTACTAGGACACACTTACTGAGTATAGTACTGCTGTTGCTTCTTTTTTAGTTTAAGATGTATGACTTGGTGATTTTGGCAGTACAGGGGTTTGAATTTTTGAGGCCTGCTATATGACTTGATGTTTTAGAATAAAACTAAGTTGTTTGTGGAGAAATCAAGAGCATTGTACAACTGACTGAAATAAAACATAGGATAAATTTAGTGGTGAGGTGGATTGGACTCTCCAAAAGATTAATAACATTTTTCTCCAAATTTTAACAATTGAAATGTTTTGCTCCCTAAGAATTCTCATTGCTCACCCTACTGATTATAAAATGCTTATTTTTAAAATGAAATCCATGTATTGATTTTCTTATCAGTCATCTTATTGTGCAATCAAAATTAGAGTTCTTTGGTTCCAAAACAACACAGCCTCCATAGAAGTTTTAAGATTTACTTAGCTTTGTGGGTGGTATTTTCATGCAAATAAGTGAGGGTGGGTTTTATATTTTGTAGAAGTTTTGGGTCCTGTTTTAATGCTCTTTGTATGGCAGTATGTATATAGTGTGTTAAATTCCTCAAGAATCTCTCCTTAAAAATTTTGAAGTTAATACCTTTGTGCAACTGTGTTTTGAATAAAGCCATGACAGTGTTAAAAACAAAAAAATGCAGTACTCCTGATCATTCTTTTATTGTTTCTGACTATTCTGTTTTTTGTGACTGCTGTAACTTAAAAGTTTTTGAAACTGAATTGCTTCAAATAAATTGAAGATTTGTTATAATAATTAGTTTCAGTGTCTGACATTTTACTTTTTCAGTAATACCATTAGCTTTGAAGTTTGTTTTTTTTTTTTTTTTTAAATATGCTTGAAAGTTATTAATACTCTTGGGGATTTGTTTGTTTTGTTTTTTGAGATGGTCTTGCTGGCTTAGTTTGGCGTCATACTAGATATGTACTTCAGGCTGGCCTCAAACTCTTGATCTTCTTGCCTCAGCTCCTGGAGTGCTGGGATTATAGGAGTATTGGGATTAGGGTCATATCCACCATACCCAGCTCCAGTTTAAACTCTTGGATGTGATATGAACTATCATATCCTCATCTTTATTAACATTTTTTTCCCAAGGAGCAGAAAAAAAAAATTCTGGATTACCTTAATTTTCCTTTGGAGTTGCAAATTTAGCAGGTATTTACTACCTATAGTTGAAGTAACATCTCTACAGTAATGATAAAACTGTACATTAGGATTTCTAAAATGAGTCCCAACTCCATTAAGATGATATGTTTATCTTCAGAATCTTTTGATAATTCTTAAAAAGTTTATCTTGAAATAAGCAATAGGTTTTTTCTGCTGTCTAGTTTTGGTTTTCCCCTTGAGTGATTTTAAGAATGTGGGCAAGTGTGGAATATATTTTGTAAAGTCAAGGCTCGGGTATAATGCTAAGTAATGTTTCCATAAGTGCCTTATGGTTATGTATTGAAAAGTTAATTGTAGAATTTGCTTCCTGAGAAGATGGTACATACTGAAATTTTCTAAACTATAACTGTTGTTTACTGAAATTAGTATGATTTTTGTTTTACATCTTTAAAAAATTTAAATCCTTTCCAGGGCATCTTAAAATGGTAGAACCAAGTTTTTGGTGAAGTTGTTAGATAATAAGGCAATTTAGTGAGAGATTTGATTCAACATTTTAAAAGTATCATGCATTCCTTGTTCTGTATTTTAGAGAGACTTTGGAACACAACATTTATTCTTCCAGTTGCTGGATATTTCCCCCCTGTTTCCAGTGTTGCATCAGTGGAAGCAATGATACTCTTCAGCAGTTGCTTAAAATAGCATGGTAGTACTGCATTCCTTTGTCATGTACTAATCAGCCTAAGATTTGAGAACCTGGCATGGATACTTTGACCTGAGGCAGCTACTTAGGTGCATGGGTACTTGGACCTGAGGGCAGCTACTTAGGTTACTAGTCTATTGAGGAGCCCTAACTTGAAGAAGGACGGGTTTCACCCCAAAATGGAAATTACAAAATGAATTGATCTTAGGAGAATCCTTAAAAAGGCTACATGCTGATAAAATACTTACAAGTCACTTTTTGGACTGTTAGACCCTAATTTAGAGTTATCCCATAATAACCCTGAATTAGGAAAGAATCAAACAGGTTGACTTTTTCAGTTTCATAAATATTTACAAATAATTAAAATTTTTGTTAAGGCATCATTTGGACTTGAATACTTAAGAGAAAGCACAGCCAATCAGGCATGGTGGTGCATGGCTGTAATCCCAGCATTGGGAAGACTGAAGCACGAGGACCCAAAGTTCAAAGCCAGTCTGGGTTATATAGTGAGACCCTGTCTCAACCAAACAAGGACCAGAGGCATGGCTCAAGTGGCCAAGAGCCTGCCTAGCAAGCACAGGACTTGAGTTCAAACTTCTATACCACCACACACACACACACACACACACACACACACACAAAAGACAGCCACAACTACACTAATGATTAATAAAGACACAGGCCACCAAATGTGCACACAATACTGGTGAAAATCTAGCTTCAAGAAGTAACACTAAATAATCACTTTCCTATTGTTGATGTTTTTGGTGGGACTGGGGTTTAAACTCAGGACTTCACACTTGCAAAGTAGGCCTACTCTACTGCTTGAGCCACATCTCCAGTCCATTTTGCTGTGTGTTTTTTGTTTTGTTTTGTACTGGGGCTTGAACTCAGGGTCTACACCTTGAGCCACTCCATCAGACCTTTTTGTGATGGATTTTTTTCGAGATAGGGTCTTGGGTAAGCCAGGGGTTGCTGTAGTTAATTTTGGAGATGGGGGGTCTCTGAACTATTTGTCTGGGCTGGCTTTGAACCTCCATCCTCCTGATCTCAGCTTTTTCCACTTGGAGGGATTTTTCTCCAAGAGGGCATTTCTCATGGCACAGTGTAGTCAGATGACGTGGGAAATCATTTATACAGCAAGCCTTGACAGGACTACTGGGTCCATAGAAGAATCTGTAAGCATGAGGGAAGATCTGCTGATAAAGCAACTGTACTTAAGAACCAACAGCCACACCAGCAAGGGAAACCGTCACTCTGCAAGTCTGCGGGGAAGCCAGAGCAAGTACAGTGCTTTTTGCTGGGTTTTCCACCCTGCCCCTCGCCACTTTACTGAGAAGATTGAGTGAATAAATCCATTTCTGCGACATTGAGAGTTTTATTATTTGTAGATTAGTATAATATTTCTGAATGGGATTACTGGTGAGGATTTTTTAAAACCAAATTTGGAGATTTTACCAAAGATTTTAACTAAGCCATCTGTTTTGGAATGTGTGGCAGGAACCACGGCCAAGGTTCTTGGGCTGTAGCAGTCAGTTTGGGAAGTCAGTTTTTAACCTCCTCTCAAGGACTCCAGTTTTAAGATGAAATTTCTCTAAAGCCTTATTTCTCATCACACTCCTGTGGGGCGAACTAACCACGTTATCTCAATCTCATTACTTCAGATTCTTGATAGGAGGCTTGCATAAACAGATGGTGGCATTTTATTTAAATGCCTAAAGTGATCTCTAGAGAGTAGGTTTTTGGGGTCAGTTTTCTCTTGTTGTCCTTGGGGAACTTGGCTCTAAATTATTACCTTGATTTCCCCAAACCTCAACCCTTGAAATGCAGATAAAATAGTTTGTTTTACTTTCTTGTGAGGTGCTATTTTTGTAACAGGGCGCCTTCCATGGATTTTGGAATCTCAAGCAGTAGGAATAGGATTTAAGCGTTTAGCGAAGAGAGCAGCAGGATTTGAATTTAGGGAAATGTTACTTTGCTATGGAGAAAAAAAAGTGCTTTATAGTGTACACATAGTTTGATTCACGGGACACAAAGCAAAAATCGCTGTGAAATCAGACTCCTAGATTCAATAGCGGAGTCCTATAAGGCAGGAACGAAAAACATCAGGGTTCTCTAAATTGTTTTACAAGGGCGCTTTCCGAACGTCTCTGATTGGCCCAGAAATGCCGCAATGCCGGTCACGTGACACAAATCCGCCTTCCCCGCCCGCGCCCCCCCCCCGCCCCAGCCTCTGGATAAGCAAGTGCTGGCGCACGCCCGGCACACGGCGCAAAGGCGGAGCCTCGCGCATGCGCTCTGATAGTGTCGGAGTCGCGCCGGGGCTTGGGCGCCAGCAGCCTGAGGCAAGCGCTCTGCATTCTGCTTCCGGTTCTCTTCAACAGATTCCGCTCTGATGACGCCGCCTAAACGCCTCCGCCAGGTCCTTTGGACCTTTGTTTTCCTTACTGACTTACATTTTGTAATCCTTGCTTAACAGAGTTTCTGTTTTCTTTATTTTTTAACTTTAAGTGATACTGTTTTTTATTAGCGTATATTAGTTGTATAAAGAAGTTTCATTGTGACATTTCCATACATGCGTAGTGTACTTTGATCAAATTCTCTTCCTGTATCACTCTTAACTTCTACCCTCCTTTACCTCCTGTCTTCTTTTTAATTTAATTAAAAATACTGAATGTCCGGCACTGGTGGCTCACACCTGCAATCTTAGCTACTCAGGAGGCAGAGATCAGGAGGATCCTGATTTGAAGCCACTTGGGGCAAATAGTTCAAGACACCCTGTCTCGCAAAACCCGTCACAAAAAAGGGCTGGTGGAGTGGCTCAAGGTTAGACCCTGAGTTCAAGCCCCAGTACCGCCAAAAAAAACCCCAAAACACCCAAACAACTGGATTATTCTAAATCTCATTCATGACTGCCATGCAGCTACTAAGCAATTATAAACAGGGTGTTACTATGATTTCAGGAAGTGAGGACTGACTGGTGTGGTTTGTTTCCTCAAGTGCTGCGTTTGGAATTGAGGCCACTTTGCCTCTTGTTTAGGCTGGGTCTGGTTCAAGTTCACACTTGGGTGCACTTTGTTTATTGTACTTGGCCTTTTGACCCCAGGAGAAAGCCTACTATTCTACATTTGTTCCTATTTCTATTTTCCCTGTCTTAAAGCTAGAACTGAATTGGTCAGACAAATTGGTACCGCAAGGAATCAATTCTGGAAAATATTAGCAACCAACTACACTGAATGAAATCATTGAGAAATGACAAAGTCCACATGTAAAATGATAAACGTTTTTTTACATCTGTAGGCTCTTTTTCTCCTAAAAGAAAAGAATGGTTCCGTTGGGGAAATTAGATCTTGAATTTTTGTGGGATCGTGACTTACACGTTTTCTTCTTTTAGTTAGGGTAATTGAATGTAGTTGGTTGTGTCAAACTATTGGAGCAAGACTGTCATCAAATTATACTTTTAATTGGGTCAATAAGTTACCTTTGAGAATATTTGCTTCGGTTTGTCTTGTGTCACAGAGAGGTTTCTTTGGAGCTGTGGAAAGCGGGGAAGAGCATAATTGTATTCTATTTTTTGGGGGAATGAGGATTGAACTCAGTCTCATATTTTCTAAGCAAGCATTCTACCACGTCTCACACCACCAGCCCTTGATTCTTATATATACAATCTTTAATAAAATAATCAAAGGATGGATACCTCTTTCTATAGAATTTAATATAAACATTAGACGGTAATAGAATATAAACTATAGAAGTTAATGTAAACATTAACTTCAACAAAACTAATGCTAGTAGTTTCTTAGGTATTTTTAATGGCTTTTGCAAAATAGCCACAAAATTGGGTAAAACAATTGTCATTTATTGCATTTAAAATTAAGAGATGAGGGCTGGAATATATGGTAGATCACTTACCT